TATCGTGAGGGGACAAGAGGTTTAGGGTTTGGGGCTTCGGTGAGGTTTCAGGCCTCGGGGCGCGTGTCCAACCCTAAACCCTAAACCCCCAAACCCCCAAAACCCCAAACCCTAAACCCTAAACCCCAAACCCTAAACCCCAAACCCTAAACCCTAAACCCTAACACCTCAGCAAGAAGACCACCTGCGCCCCACTCCTGCGCCTCAGGTGCTTCCGCGCAGTGCCGCGGCCGAGGCGACACCCCCAAACCCTATATGCCTATGCCCTTAAAGGTTTAGGCTTTATAGGGTTAAGGGTTTAGGATTCATATTGGCCAGCATAGGCGCACCCTCCCCCCCGCCCCTTTCCTGTGGTTCATGGTCTGTGGTTCATGGGTTTGTGGTTTAGGGGTTTAAGGTTAGGCTGTAGAGTTCAGGATTTTCACTCTGGTGCATTAGTTCATTGTGGGGTTAGAGTTTAATCAGGGTTCAAGGTTTGGGGTAATGGTAGGTTTACGGTTTCCCCTCTCCCCCCCGCGGTTCGTGCTGAGTTTACGGTTCAGGCTCGGTTCAGGGTTCAGGGTTAAAGCGGTTAAGGTTTCGGGTTTACCCTTCTCCCTCCTGTCGTTCATTGGTGGGTTTAGGTTTTAGGGCTTAGGGTTCAGGGTGTGCGGTTTAGGCTGAGGTTTCTCTGTCCTCCCCCGTGAGGGTAAACAGGCAGGGTTTGGGGGGGGGGGGGGGGATACCATTGGGGAGGGGGGGGGGGGGTCGATTACGCGGAACGCGGGCGTACATAGGGTTTAGGGTAGGGTTTGGGGGTCGAACCCTAAACCCTGAGCCCTAAACCGGATGCTGGGTTTTGGGGCGAGGGGCTCCATGAATTCTGCTTCGTAACAGCTTCTTCGGTTTGGGGGGTTATGGTCAAGGCGGCTGGGGGCCTTTTTTAAGTCAAGGTCTAAGCCCGCAAAGAAGACTTGGGGTTTGGGGTCGTAGCATTTGTAGGTGTTTTAGTCATTCGGAAGCCCTAGAACTAAAGTTCCCTAAGCCTGTAAAGCCAAGCCTTAACCCATCAATCCTCACTCACACAGGCCCGATTCCTTGGCCTTGAAACCTCGACACCTCGGGGTTCAGGGTTTAGGGTAGTATAGGGTTTAGGTGAGCACCCTAAACTCTAAACCCGAAACCTTGTACAAGCCATGAAGGCACGCAATGCATCGGAGCAGCGCGGAGCCCGTGTAGAGAGTTTTCGGGTTTGGGGCCTAACCCTAAACCCTAAACCCTAAACCCTAAACCCTAAACCCTAAATCCTAAACCCTAAATCCTAAACCCTAAATCCTAAACCTTAGTTTAAGATTTCAGGGTGTGGGGTCGAAGGCCTGAGGTAAGCGGATTGAAACCTCCACGTCGAGGATTCGGATGGTTTCGATCCAGCCCAAAGGCGAGACTTCTTCCCTTCTTCCCTAAACCCTAAACCCTAGAACCCTAAACCCTAAACCCTAAACAGAACCCCTAAAGGCCTAAACCATAAACCCTACTGCCTTGTAAAACCAAAACGCTTACCCCCCAAGTCTTACTATGGGTCGGAACATTTTCAAATGTTGCTCCCTTATGGTCCCTATACAATTATACGAGAAGAACCACCAAAAAACCCTGTACACCCGGTCCTATGTGGTGCTTGTTTGAGCTATTGCGTTAAGGTTCGGGAGCTTTGGTCGGTTCCAGGTTTGCGGGAACTACGAGGGTGTAGGTTTAGGGAGGGTTTGGGGTTCAGGGCTTAGGGCTTAGGGTTAAACCCCAAACCCTAAACCCTAGACCCTAAACCCTAAACCCTAGAGTTTGGAGGTTTAGGGTTTAGGGTTTGCAAGTGTTCCGCGCACGCCACCACCCGGAACCTGCACTGCCCCAGGTTCATGCTCTCTCCCAACCCACTCACCCAAATCACAACCCTGGGGGTTTAGGGTTTAGGGTTTAGGCTTTAGGGTTTAGGGATTAGGGTTTAGGGTTTAGGGGGCAATTCATCCACAACCTTCGAGTTTCTCTGTGGAATAGCAGGAGGAATTCTGAGCGTTTTTCTCATGCTTGTGTGCTGGAGGTGGGGTCGAGCCCAGGCAATGAGGACGGAGTTGATGTGACAAAAGGCCTTATGGTCTCACAAAAAAATCCTCGGTGATGGCTTCAGACAAGTCCTGGGCTCCAGCCCCTTCCGGGAAGCTCCTTACAGGAATGGCTCAGGTTTTGAAGGTGGCTTTGGACCACAAAACCATACAAAACCCATCCACGCATCACATCCTCTTATTCCAGCTTAGGGTTAGGGTTTGTAGGGTTCCGGCAGGGTGTGTTTAGGTACTTGGACAGCTGATGTGAGGGGGCTTTGAGATTGAAGAAGTGCTTTCAATTAGGGTGGGTGGGGGGGGGGGGGGGGGGGGGGGGGGGGGGATGTAGGGGTGAGCGTTAGGGTTTGGGGTTCAGGCTGATTATTTGCGATTGCATTGCAGGATCCCGAATTCCTTTGCTGCTCTATCATTCCATTCGCTGTTCATTCTGAACCAAAAAATATCCCAAGCACCCAAGCCCTCGTAATTTTACAGTTGCACCTTAAGCCTCATATACCTGAAACCCAATCTGTAAGCCCGCCCGAGGCCCAAACCGCGCACCGCAGAAAACAATCCTTTTCGCAGCTACAAGGCTCTTGTAGGGGAGTCGCGGCTTCAGGCTTTAGGGCACTTCAGGGTTTAGGGTTTAGGGTTTAGGGTTTAGGGGTTAGGGTTTAGGGTTTAGGATTTAGGGTTCAGGGTTTAGGCTTGGGGGTTTTGGGTTTTGGGTTTAGGGTTTAGGGTTTAGGGGTTAGGGCGTGCGGAGCGTGGGTTTGCAGGCTACAGTCATGTCATGTAGTGCGCACGTCGTCGTGAACCGCACGTTGCCCACATACACTGTGCTGTACCCTTGCGTGCCTCTTGGACTACAAACAATGCGCTGCATGTCATTTAGGAGCTTTGGGATCTTATTTCCCCATGCTTCACACTTGGAGGCTGCGAAGAACCACGCCAATCTTGGGTAAAGGCCCTTGTGGTTAAACCCAAACCCTAAAGCCCTTAAACCCCTAAACCTCTAATCCCCGAAACCCCTGAACCCCTAAACCCCTAAATCCCTAAACCCCTAAACCCCTAAACCCCTAAACCCCTAAACCCCTAAACCCCTAAACCCCTGAAACCCCTGAAACCCCTGAACCCCTAAACCCCTAAACCCCTAAACCCCTAAACCCCTAAACCCCTAAACCCCTAACCCCTAAACCCTACACCCTAAACCCTAAACCCTAAACCTTGAGAACCCTTAGATGCCCTCAAGGCCCCACAGTTGGGACTTAGCAGGCTCCAGGGTCTCCAGGGCATCGGCGACTGACAACTGAGCCTCGAAGCCCACGGCTTAGGGTTTAGGGTTTAGGGTTTAGGGTTTAGGGTTTAGGGTTTGGGGTTTGGGGTTTGGGGTTTGGGGTTTAGGTTTTGGGGCTTAGGGTTTCGGGTTTAGGGATCAGGGGCTTAGGGGCTTAGGGGGCCTCAGGGGCGTTTAGGGTTTAGGGCTTATGGTCGATGGCTCCATGTCTCGGTTGTTGTTGTCAACTGCCATTCCTGCGCAGCCCGAGACGTTGTCTACGGCAACGCAGTGCTCTCCTCAGCAGCAGGGGGTTAACCCTAAACGCCCCAGAATCGAAGAAATTCAACATACCCCTAGGGTATACCCCTTAAAAACCAAACCCCTTATTTGTTTACCCCTTATTTTCTTTTTTTGAAGAAAACAAGGGGTATGGTAAAATCCTCCCTTAGACTCCGTTTATATTATACTTTCGTAGGTTGAGGGGTCTGGGTTTGGGGGCATTGGTGAGCCATTCTTAGATATAAGGCCAAGAGGGTCGTGGGCTCAGGGTTATCGGCTGTTCGGGTTTCGGGGGGCTTAGGGTTTAGGGTTTTGGCGGCTAAGGGTTCGGTGTTGGGGTAAATCTTACTTGCTTTGAAGCTGAAGCTGAAGAAACCCTCGAAGGCCCCTCGCATCTACATCCTCAAGAAGCCAGGGCCATCAAAACATGTTCCAACCTGCAATCAAGCATAAGCCCTAAGCCCTAAGCCCTAAGCCCTAAGCCCTAAGCCCTCATCAGCCCTAAGCCCTAAGCCCTAAACCCTAAGCCCTAAGCCCTCATCAGCCCTAAGCCCTCATCAGCCCTAAGCCCTCATCAGCCCTCATCAGCCCTAAGCCCTAAGCCCTAAGCCCTAAGCCCAAAGCCCTCATCAGCCCTAAGCCCTCAAGCCTAAGCCCTAAGCCCTAAGCCCTCATCAGCCCTAAGCCCTAAGCCCTAAGCCCTAACCCTAAGCCCTAAGCCCTAAGCCCTCATCAGCCCTAAGCCCTAAGCCCTAAGCCCTCATCAGCCCTAAGCCCTCATCAGCCCTAAGCCCTCATCAGCCCTAAGCCCTAAGCCCTCAAGCCTAAGCCCTAAGCCCTAAGCCCTAAGCCCTAAGCCCTCATCAGCCCTAAGCCCTAAGCCCTAAGCCCTAAGCCCTAAGCCCTAAGCCCTAAGCCCTAAGCCCTAAGCCCTCATCAGCCCTAAGCCCTAAGCCCTAAGCCCTAAACCCTAAACCCTAAACCCTAAACCCTAAACCCTAAACCCTAAGCGGCCCTAAGCCCTAAACCGCGTCCTAACCCTAGAGCTGCTGTGGTCTACCCATGTTCTATTTATATCTGTATTCATGACTGCACTGAAAACCATATTCGGGCACTTAAGTACCCTAAGCGTGACCATGTGTTCTGGGTTTAGAGGCTACCCTCCTCACCCCAAATCCGTCAGTCTCCTCGTGCTTGAGCTTTGGGCTTAGTTATTAGTATACATAGTATTGTTATCTTGTGATGCTGTTATGTTGTTATCTTTCAATCTTGCATGATCATACTGTAACATACACATACCCGTATACGAGTACATTCTTACACGAACTTGCGTTGTGTTGCGAGTTGCCTTGCTCTATCTCCTGCCACGAATGAACGTGAAGCTGGCACTTACCTGTGCTGCGGGTGTAGCGATCCTGGTGCCTTCCATCGTCCTGCAAGTGTCCTCCTATTGGCAGGTTGCGGTGGGGCGTCCAGAGATTTCTGCACAGCCAGCTGGGGGATTTGCAAACGTGGACCGAACGTTCATCGATCACAGCAACGCGATGGCTTCAAGGGCCAACGAGACGGGGGTATTCTCCAACTCGACTCTACTAAGCCAGCTGGTTCATCCACCCCCAGAATTTGCCCCCAGAGAAAACTGGACCCAACCACTCTTCGCTGACTTCACTATTGTCGGCTTGCCGAAGGCTGGGACGTCGCAGCTGTATGCGATTCTGACATCGCATCCTCAAATGGCGCCCTTCCATCCGACGAAGAAAGAGTTGTGTCCCCGGGTGTGGATTAATAACTTCGTCGCCCGAGCCTGCTTCTTGTATGGGGACCGAGCTCAGGAACTGCAGCATGCGCCTGAGCGCTTAACTGTCAACGCCTGCCTTCACTACGACATGTTGGAGATGCTTTCGGTTTATTCGCCGCCTCCGGTCAAAAAGCGGTTCCTCTTTCTTTTCCGGGACCCCCCCTCGTGGTTATGGGCGTCGTACAACTACTGGGCGTGGCGTGACCTCGACGCAGATGTCTCGAAGATGGGCCGCCAGACGAGACCGCAGCAGCACCACCGCTCGCCAGAACTCTTTCACGAGCTGATCCTTGGGGGTAGCTAGGATGCCCAGTAGTGCCCTTATTCCCTTTTTGGGGGGTTTTGGTCCCCTTATAAACCCCCTTTAAGCCAAAAAAGGGGGCACTCTTTTTAATCCCAGGCTACTGGGCAACCCAGGTAGTCGGCTGCTGGCAAGCCGATGGTGGCTGAACTTTCGAAACTTAAGTGTGGATGTCCCGAGAAGCTTGTTGTCAGTGATGGGCCGGCAGCAGGTACTTTTCCTGAGAAGAGAGGATTTGATGTCAAGTGAGGTGGGGGAGGTTCCGAAACTTAGGCATGAACATGGGGGGACAGAGTACGTAGTACCTGGTATTATTCCGTTCGTTGCCCCCTATCTATTTTATACTAGAATGATCCCCCCCAAAGCCCTATTCTAGTTCTTACGGCCCCTGCGCGACCTATTTTGGGGCTCCTGATTGAAGCCTTATTGAGGTTCCTGCATTATTTGGGGTAAAGAGTAGGTTTAGGGTTTAGGGTTTAGGGTTTAGGGTTTAGGGTAGGGTTCAGGGTTGTCCAATTCAGGGAAGCACCCTCAGGTGTCCAAAACTGGAGGCCTGCTGGACAAGCTCAGCGTATTCACCGGAGTAGACCGTGCAAGCTTCAACCCCAAGGTGTATCTTACTTCGCCTTTACTTGAACCTTAAACTTTTTGGGCTTCCTTGTTTCGGAGGTCAAGGTGTATCTTACTTCGCCTTTACTTGAACCTTAAACTTTTTTGGCTTCCTTATTTCGTAGGAGTATTGAATTTTAACTTTTTTTGTCCCCTTGGTTTTTCTTGGAGAAGTAAGGTATTCGGCCAGGCACAACTGTGGCAACGCAAGGGGGGCAAAGGTCACATGCAATGAGAGCATGGTGGATGGCCTGTACAAAATCAGCGGCTGGCGCCCGATGCTACCACAGACGCGGCCGCTCATCTACCTTCAGTTCTGGGAGGAGTGCGAGTTTTGGGCAGCTGAGCTGAGCATCGTGTACTCGGACTGCTTGAACATCATGACCTTGTACCCATAGCTTGGGGCGTTCTGGCACAGAGGCGTTCTGGCACAAGTAAGGCTAGCTTTTGATTTGAGTCCTTTAGAAACCCTAAACCCTAAACCCTAAACCCTAAACCCTAAACCCTAAACCGCCTAAAGCCTAAACCCTAAACCCTAAACCCTACACCCTAAACCCTAAACCCTACACCCTAAACCCTAAACCCTAAACCCCTTCCCCTATAACCCCTCCCCCTACAACCCCTCCCCCACAGACTCCGCCCATCCTCTGCGAACACGTGTTGCGCTAATGGCCTCCTTTACAGGGTTGAGGGTTTTGGGTTTTAGGGTTTAGGCTGTTAGGGTTTAGGGTTTAGGCTGTTAGGGTTTAGGGTTTAGGCTTTTAGGGTTTTAGGTTTAGGATTTAGGGCTTTTTGGGTTTTGGGTGGTAGGGTTTTGGGGGATCTACAGCAAGTTCCTCTTTTGCAGGCGACCGCATCCTCGGCAGCACTTCCTCTACGACTATAGCCTCCACTGCTTGGAGGTTTAGGCTTTAGGCTTTAGGGTTTAGGGTTTAGGGTTTAGGGTTTAGGGGTACTTATTAGCCAAATAGAACTTTCAGAACTGTGCTTACAACCCACTTCTAAGCCCCCTAATATGGTCATAAGCACAGTTCTAAGTACAGTTAGAACTGGTGAGTAAGTACCATGAACCTCCAAGTATGTTCCGTACGGCATCCTTACAACTTACAACGACATGGGCAATTTACTTCTTGACCACACCTTCCACTGAACCCTGTGACCCTTCCCTTAACTTAGCCAAAACTTGAACTTTACACTTTTTGGATTTCCTTATTTAGTAGGAAGAGTATAGTTTAACCTTGTTTTTACCATTGTAAGCATAAGTCCTCTGCCTTGCACGGCAGTTTTCCCCTTATGCCACGGCGTGTTGCCGTGTCTCAGCCCAGTTAGAATACAGTCTCAGCCCAGTTAGAATACAGTCTCAGCCCAGAGCGATGTTCACTTTTCAAGTAATTGACTCAATTTGAGTCGTTCAGATACTACTTAGATTTGGTGAAATGCGGCAGCGTCCTGTCCGATCTCGAGTTGCGCCGCGACGGCACCGCCACCAAAATACAGAGCCTGCACGAAGTCTGCAGCCTTGCCGGGTTTCAAAGGCAAAAGCTCTGCACTCAAAGCCCCTCCGCCAATGCAGGTGCAAAAAGAAGAGCCCTTCGCTCGTCTGGGCATTCAACCCTAAACCCTAATTCCTAATTCCTCATTCCTAACCCTAAACCCTAAACCCTAAACCCTAAACCCTAAACCCTAAACCCTAAACCCTAAACCCTAAACCCTAAACCCTAAACCCTAAACCCTAACCCTAAACCTGGAGACTCCCAAGGTCGGACGCTCAGATGGGCGATGATCTGGAGGCCGCGGCTCAGCTCCAATTCTAGGGTTTAGGGTTTAGGGTTTAGGGCTTAGGCTTTAGGGTTTAGGGTTTCGGGCTTAGGGTTTAGGGTTTAGGGTTGGGTTTAGGGCTTTGGGTTTAGGGTTTAGGGTTAGGGTTTAGGATTCAGGGTTGGGTTTTGGGTTTTGGGTTCAGGGTTTAGGGTTTAGGGTTTAGGGTTTAGGGTTTAGGGTTTAGGGTTTAGGATTCAGGGTTGGGTTTTGGGTTCAGGGTTTAGGGTTTAGGGTTCAGGGTTTAGGGTTTTGGGTTTAGGGTTTTAGGTTTAGGGTTCAGATTTAGGGTTTAGGGTTTAGGGTGTAGGGTTTAGGGTTTAGGGTTTAGGGTTCCAACCGCTCCATTTGCTTAACTAGGTAGGCCCTCGGACATGTTACAGTTTCCCTTTTGGGTTTAAGAGGATCATATTCAGGAATGTTTTCAGAGGGTTTTAGGAGCCATTCTAGTTGAGAATTAAGATCCCCCCCTGAAGAAAAGAAAGTATACTTCTTAGGGGCTGGGTAATTGACCTTTTACCTTTCTTGGGTGTATATATATGTATAATCCTACTGCAAATGCAAGGTTAACCTGTCTTGGGGCTAGGGTTAGGGATTATTATCTTGTGTTTTTTTTTGGGGGGGGGGGGGTTATTAACCAAATAGCAGTCCTGTGTTCACCCCAAAGCCCGAAACCCCAGAGCCAAGGTTTTTTTTTGGGTTTTTTAGGGTTTATAGGGTTGAGGACTGACCTCAATAACCCAGGACCTTTCGTCCGAAAACGGTTTAGGGTTTAGGGTTTAGGGTTTAGGGTTAGGGTTTTGGGTTTAGGGTTTAGGATTTAGGGTTTAGGGTTTAGGGTTTAGGGTTTAGGGTTTAGGGTTTGTAACAAGACCCGAAGCAGCTCATGGTGCCAGACCCATTTACCCTAAACCCCAAGCCCGAAATTTCGAAGCCTGCAAATGCTAAACCCTAAACCCTAAACCCTAGACCCTAGACCCTAGACCCTATAGCCTATATAGACCCTAAACCCTAAACCCTAAACCCTAAACCCTAAACCCTAACCCTCTTCTTCTTGGCCTGAGAGGCCCATACTTTCAAGTCTGAAGTCTGTAAGCCAGCAACCTCTTAATCTCCTAAATTCCGTAAACTCTTGAATCCCTCAACTCTAACTTCCCTAAACCCTAAACCCTACATTGACATCTTAAATCCCCGAAAAGACATCCCAAGACCTACAACCTGCAAGCCCCATACCGTATACCCTAAACCCTAAACCCTAAACCCTAAACCATGCACGGCGCAGCCTGCAACAGCTGACTCAGCAACCCACCACAAGCCTGGACCCAAGGTCTTCAACTCCCTTGTAGGGTTTCGGGGTTCAGGGTTTAGGGTTTCGGGTTGAGGGTTGAGGGTTGCGGGTTGAGGATTGATTTCAAATGGCTTCTTCTGCTGCGCTGGCAGGCTTCACCCATGGCAGGGGAGGCACAGGCAACAGCCCGTTGACAGGTGTCTGTTGCCCTAAATGGCTTGGGGGGGGAGGGGCTTTGCCAAGGTTTTGGGGCTGAGACCCGCAGCCCCTTCACCCTTAAACTTAAGGGTGAAAGGGAGGGACCCCTACTAGAAGGGACCCTCAATCTTCTTCCCCTATATAACCCCTGGATATACCTCATAGTCCCTATATACCTAAGCAGCCCCCAAACACCCCCTAAATAACCGCTCAGGTCCCTTATAAGGGTCCCTCTAGTTTTTCGGTGAACCCCTGAATCCCTCAACCTCAACCCCTAAACCCCTGAACCCTGAACCTCCACAGGGTTTGAGGCGTATCGGGGTTTCATCATCGGGCTTGGGGACTCGGATAAAACCTAAACCCGAAACCTGAAACCCTAAACCCTAAACCTGAAACCCTAAACCCTAAACCCTAAACCCTAAACCCTAAACCCTAAACCTGAAACCCGAACCCCTAAATCCCTTCTTGGGATGCCGGGGCCTTTCGGTCTTCAGGGGCCCTTCGGCTTTGTTTGGGGTTTAGGGTTTAGGGTTCGGGGTTTAGGAGTTTAGGAGGGCTTGTGGGGACCCTGAACCCTAAACCCTAAACCCTAAACCCTAAACCCTAAACCCTAAACCCTAAACCCTGAACCCTGAACCCTGAACCCTAAACCCTAAACCCTAAACCCTGAAGCCTCAACCCGCAACACTAGAGATGCAGGGCTGGTTAGCTGGTTCTCGACACGTGGCCTTTGATTGTGTATCTTTGCCAGAGCACCGAAACCCTCGGTCTTGGCGTCCAGTAAACCCTAACCCTAAACCCTAAAAGATCTTGGGATCTTCGAAAACTTCCGTCTCGGCTGTTGCCTTCCCCTCCAGGCGCTAAACCCCAAATCCCAAACCCTAAACCCTAAACCCCAAAGCCCTAAACCAGAGATGTCGAGAAGCAGGGCTCCGCCTGCTGCCCAATTGCGGAGCAGAAGCACGAACTGCGCAGGACAGGAGCTTTGGGCCTCCCCAACCCCTCCCCCGCCCCAACCCCTCCCCCGCCCCAACCCCTCCCCCGCCCCCTCCCCCCCCCCTCCCCCCCATCCCCCCCCCTTCCCCCCCCCTCCCCCCTCCTCCCCCCTCCCCCCTCCACCTAAACCATAAACCCCAGACCCTGAACCCCAATTTTCCCTGAAATTCTGGAAGCCCTAAACTCCAGAGGCGGCAACTCTTCAGTATGTGGAGGGTGGCAACTTCGATACCCTAAGCCCTGACCCCTAAACCCTGGACGCTTCAAACCCTTACAAACCCTCAAGCCCTGAACCCGAAACCCTAAGCCCTAAACCCTAAATCCTAAGCCCGAAGCCGAAATTCCCCGAGCATGGTCAGGGTGCCGATGAGATCGACGACCATGTCACGGCCTCAGTTTACAAGCCGAGTTCGGGCTGGGTTTAGGGTTTAGGGTTTAGGGGTTAGGGGTTAGGGGTTTAGGGTTCAGGGTTCAGGGTTCAGGGTTCAGGGTTTAGGGTTTAGGGTTCAGGGTTGAGGGTTTAGGGTGTAGGGTTTAGGGTTTAGGGTTTATAGGGTTAGGGTCTACAGGGCTTGAAATATGTTTAGAGTTGGGGATTGAGGAATGGGGTTTCAAGGCATTTTAGGGGCTTTGGACTTCGGCGTTTGGGCTTTCCGGCTTCTTGGGTAAGCCCAAAACCCAAAACCCTAAACTCCTGTAGAGAGTTCAGGGTTCAGGGTTTAGGGTTTAGGGCTTAGGGTTCAACCCCTAACCCCAAACCTTAAACCCGATCCCCCAACAACACCAAGAAGTTCGGCAAACCCCCGAGAACTGCCAAGCCCTATTTAGGCCTTGTGGTGGCTTTACTGCAACTTTACATCCTTAGCCTTTTTGGGTTTTTTTGGGGTTCTTAATCAGGCAGCTAAAAAAATATTTTAGAGCTACCCTCCTAAGTGCAGCCAAGTGTAGTAATCTACCTAACCCCCCCTGAACATCCGGAACTCGAAGCCCCAAATCACCCCAAACCCTAAACCCCAAACCCTAAACCCCAAACCCTAAACCCTAAACCCCAAACCCCAAACCCTAAACCCTAAACCCTAAACCCCAAACCCTAAACCC